AATGATATAAGGTTTTCTGGTTGAGCAGGTGGTTGGACTAGAAGACCACCAAGATTCCTTCCAAATCTGTTATTCTAATTGTAGTATTCTAATGGTAGTATTTTTCCACATCCTCTTTTTATGCCTGTTTAATTTCATCAACCATAACCATCACCATTTGTTGTTATTTCTGAAGATTTTCACTCAACCCTTTATTTCTGGAAATAAATTGCAAATAATTCCACACTTGTGAAACATATCTGAACAATTGTTACAACAAATCCAGGAGTTTTCCAACTCCTTCTACTTTCTTCCTTTTTTTCACATTTTCCGCTTCCCTTATTTCTCCTTAGGAATATTTGTTGCAACATATCTGAGTTTTTCTTCTCCTTTCCCTTTCTTCCTGCCCCTACCCCCATTCATTTTCCTCCTTCAGTCAACAATAATGGAAATTTATTGGATGCAGTATCTTCTTATTTAACCACTGTATTTGTACACTATTATAGTTTCCTTTCCAGTCTACATTCAATGTGGATTAATTGATGGGATGTTAGGATGGGGTGGTATTTCTAATATCTCTCTTATATCCTATTCAGGTACTTCTCCTTCCGTACAATCCACTTACTATTACAGTCTTCCTACGAACAATCCACTCAGAACACATTTCCCTTAACTTCCCTTCCCTTCGCTGTTACACCATCAAAACTGAACCAATTCCCCCAAATTTATATGAAATGAGATACAGACCGTGTATATGAACAAGATCAAATAATTTCTATCCATATTTAGCTCTGAGCCTTTACTGAGCCTTTATTGTCTTTAGAATCAGCTCAGAATCCCTTCAGAAGGTAATCAAAATACATATATTTGTAATCCAAATTAGGAAGGTGATTTTGATTGTATATAGTCCCTCAAAAGAGAAACCAACCCATTAGTTTTTCTGGAGGTCCTTTAAATTTCTCTGCTAAAATGATAAGGAGACAGGGGGGACAGGCTTTAAAATAGGGACAAAGAGACTGGGACAAAGCTAGCTCTGCGAGAAACTCATATTTTTAGAGTGATATTAAATGCTACCCTTCCTACTCAGTGAAACAGTGCCACAGGCAATTAATAATATGCAAATTCCTGGTTTGGGTTTTGCTGGAATATTTCATTTCAAATAGTTACACAATGAATCCCAGTATTTAGTACAGTGGTGGGTTGGCAATTTTTTTACTACTGGATTGGGCACGCTCCTGCATGCACGTGACATTTCTGTGCATGTGCAGAAGCATCCAGGTGGGTGGGCGGAGCCTCCCGCTGCCACTACTACTGGTTTACCCAACCTGGGCCAAACTGGGAGCAACCCACCTCTGATTTAGTACTAAAAAGAGAGAGAGAGAGGGGAAGAAAAATATTTAACAAAATCTCTGGAAATGTTTTTCCAAAGTGAATTTTTAAAATAAAAACCATCCAATTTAAAACAAATTTATATGTGATGTTCATCTTGCATCAAGGAGACTTTCATTTTGATAGGAGCCCCCAAGATGTCCATTAATAGGACAGGCCCTGTAAATACTGTAAACGAATCAGGAATTTGCTAGGTTTCTGTTGTGGCCCAGCAGCGGCCGGCTGAGCTGTTGCTGGAATCTGACAGCGATGAACATTATGGGACTGCCCTGGAGGCTGAGGAAGACTCTGGGGGGTGTTCGGAGTGAGAGCAAGGACTGGAGAGTCCTGTTGGCCACCAGATGGCGTCTGAGCCAGGGAGCAGTGAGGAAGAACAGGGGGAGGTTGTCCCTGACATAAGGATGCGGAGGGCTGATAGGAGAAGGCAGCAGCTGTGGAAGCAGGCTCACAGAAGGAAATAGGACACAGGTGGTTACTGATTGGCCCCTCCTAGAGAGTTTATAGGTGGAGTGACGGGAGGGGACTTTTGCAGGAAACATCAGTCTAAGTTTGAAGAAGTCTGTGAATTCCATGAGTCTGGTTTTTCATAGAGATAGGTTTCTGGGCTCCTAGCCAAGGGGTGGTTTATCTACTTCATTAGTCATGGCAGATGGCCAAGCTGGCATCAGTATAATTTGGAGGCTTGTGGGACAGAACAGGTTTCAATCAGTGGTGGTATTCAGCCAGTTTGGATTGGTTCGGGTGAACCGGTAGTGGCGACCTACGAGTGGGCTTGCCCACTCTCCCTGGCACTATGCCATCCTATTTAGCGACGTTTTCTAAGCCACGTGCATGCATGCAAGTTGCACATGCAAGCAAAGCGCATACATTTTTGGTGTATGGCGAACCAGTGGTAAAATTATGTAAAACCCACCTCTGGTTTCCATGCAGCAATAAATGTACCATCCAGAGATATGTCTTGTGATATAGGAAGCCATATACATGTGATTGAGAAATATATAATAATATTTGGCAATATTTCCTCAATTGCCATGTAATGAGAAGGATCTCCTGCTTCTCTCCTGCCTTTCAGATCACTTTGACTTTTTAGGATGATTCATTTCATCGCTAATCCACTGATTTCACACTATGGCTTTATTAATTGTCCCAATCTTAGCAATAGAAATTCCAAGTTATGAATTCCTTTAAAGGAATATTACACAAAGACTTTATGAAATAAAGGTAAAATGCCAAATTGAGGGAGAAGACCTGTTAATATATCTTAACTTGCAGTAATCACTGGAGCCTCTGGCACTTTCGGCACTTCATCTTTGCCCTCCATCTGATCAACCAAAGTCAAAGGCTTTTACCCAACATCACCAACAGCCCTGCCTTAGATCATCTCATTCTCTGTCCTGCCACAGCAAGAAGGTGTTATAACATCTTCATGAAACAACTTAGGTCAGTTGGTCCATTTCTGGCTGAGACTTCTATTCCATAAACAGGCACACAGACATACATACTCCACTATTTTAATTCTGGACAGGCCCTCTCAAAAGGAAAAGTTCCCAAGGACTTGCCCTTCCTGCCTCTTCCCAAAATAAACATAAAAAGAAATGATGAGATACAGTTATGAATGAACGGGTTTTAAAAGGAAGAACATCTGAACAATTGAAAACAGACAAATCAATTTCCAAAAGGGTAGATGCTGAAGTTGAATATTTCTTTTTTGGCACCCAAATATTAGCATGTTTCCTTCCGGTAAACAATGTAGAAAAGGAACACTGGGAAAGACAGGGTCAGTAAACATTGCAGAGTAGGAAAGAAGGAGTGGCACAGTTCAACTGAGGGGGGGAGCAGAGGACATGATAGGAGAGAGGTGAGAGTAATATATTTTTACTTTAAGGTAGATGGAGAGAGAGAGAGAGACAGACAGACAGACAGAGACACAGAGAGAGAGACAGAGACAGAGAGAGAGACAGAGAGACAGAGGGACAGAGAGAGGAGATGGAGAGAGAGGAAGGGAGAGGAAAGAGAGAGGAAAGGAGAGGAGAGGAGAGGAGAGAGACAGAGAGAGAAAAACACAAAGACACAGAGAGAGAGAAACAGAGAGAGAGAGAAACAGAGAGAGAGAAAGAGAGAGAGACAGAGGGAGAAAGAGACAGACATACACATACACACAGACAGAGACAGAAAGACACTCACAGAGAAAGACATAGAAAGAGAGAGAGACAGAGAGAGAGACAGACAGAGACAGAAAGACATTAGAGAGACACAGAGAGAGAAAGAGAGAGAGAGAGAAAAAGACAGAGAGTTTGTCTAAAGTCTTTCACCCAACAGTGAAGCAGCCTACTTTTCACTCACGGCTCCTAAGAGAATATAAAAATATTTTCTTTCTAGTGTCATCATTTTTTGAGAGAGTTCGAGCTTTACAATCTTTCAGGAAATGACATTTATTTGGATGAGAAAGGAATTCCTGTCACCGACTTTGATATCATACACTGGGAAGTATTTCCTAACCAATCTTACGGTGAAGTGAAAATTTGAAAAATAGAAAGTGTGGCATCTTCAGATATCAAGCTCTCCATGAATGAAAGTGCTATTGTATGGCCAATGTCATTTAAACAGGTAGCCGGGTCTCTGCTTATGAGTTTTAATATTAATCTGCTGCCATACATTTATCCAGAATCTGACTTTACCACACCTTACCAGGCTGATGAAAGCTCTATTTGGGAAAAAGGGCAGATTGTAAAGGACTCTCTTACTTCTCTTGGACTTCTCAGACAAATTGCTGAATGTGGGAATGTTAGCCTTTCTCTGGAGCAAGCTGAAAAGTCATATTAGTTAGCTTAAAGTTGATGGTAGACTATCTTCTCCCTTCATAGAAAGAAGAATTAATTTTGTGGCAAATAAGTCTTGTCAGAATTAGAGCCTAATTTCACATTTTGCTAGAAGCAGTTATTTTTATTACAGGAAAGCTAGCAAACATTTCAGGAAATCAGCAGACAGTGTGAGACACCAGGAACTTAAAGCAAACCCTTAAATGCTCTCTCAGTAGCACACGATGACATTGCAGTTGGACCTATGGTGATGAAAGGCACTGATAATGCAGATTTACAGCAGTTCCTTGTGTTTTTCAGATGCAGCTTACTGCCAAAAGTGTCCAGATGGCCAGCAGTCAAATAAGAAAAAAAATCAATGTGTTCCCAAAGCAGTAAGCTTCCTGTCCTATCAAGAAAGCTTGGGAGTCATCTTGGAATTCACTGCCTCTTTTTTGTGTCTAACCACTGGCTTGGTTCTGATTATCTTAATTAAATACCGAGAAACTCTCATAGTCAAAGCCAATAACCAGGACCTCACTTACATCTTCCTAGTTTCCCTTCTGCTTTCCTTCTTGACCTCCATTCTATTAATTGGTCACGCAAAGAAAGTGACCTGCCTTCTTTGACAAAGCACTTTGAGTATTGTTTTCTCAGTTGCCATCTCTTCCTTGCTGGCCAAAACTAGCAAAACAATTCCATTGTTTTGTCCTGCTCTGGGGTACAGGTGGGCCTTTGCTTGATATGGCTGGGAATCTCTCTCCCATTCCCAGATTCTGACCTGCATTCTGAACCAGTACAGATCCTCCTGAATGCAATGAAGGCTCTGTCACCATGTTCTACTCTGCCCTTGGGTACCTGGGCTTTCTGGCTGCCATCTGCTTCCTGGTGGCTTTCATATCCCATAAGCTGCTAGGGAGCTTCAATGAAGGCAAGTGGATCACCTTCAGCATGATGGTCTTCTGCAGTGTTTGGGTTTCCTTTGTCCCCACTTACCTGAGCACCAAAGGGAAATACATGGTGGCCATGCAGATCTTCTCCATCCTGGCCTCCAGCCTAGGTTTACTAGGCTGTGTCTTTATCCCCAAGTGCTACATCATCATTATGAGACCTGACATGAACAGAAAGGAACATCTAATGATGAAAAACCAGGAAGGTGTCTGATCATGCTGTTTTATTATTTGTAAAGACATTGGAAATACAAAATAAGGTAGCTTGAAAGTGTAATCTTTTGATACGTTCCAAGTAGCCTTTCTTTCTGCTATTTTTCACAGTAAAAGTAAGTAGTAGACAAAAGCTGTTTAGCTCTCATAATATATTACAAATTTAACATGTCAAATTAGGTTTGGTGAGTAAAAAGAAGTCAAACTTTCCTGAATATGTCCCTTGATGGAAGAAGGGGAATTATGCCCAGGAGAATAAAAAAAAATGTTTTTCTAGCTGAGCATCTGCATACAAGTGATGCTGTAGTTCTATCTCACTTTATAACTATTGCAATAAAAGTGAATTATTCAATTTATAGCAGATCCGACGGGATGCCCACCCACCCATATTCCCAATCATCCTTGAAATAATTGTAACACATAATTAGAAATTCCTAATCAAGCAAACTTGAAAAATATTTGCATCTTCCCAAATAAAAACTTCAAAATAATATTTAGGAATCCATGAGTCCATGGATACCCAGGAAGATAAGACACTTCATAATCTCATAGTAACCACCAATGATAAGTCTATCCAATACCCATGGGAATGTAAAGAACTCAACAGATGAACATCTTCAGGAGCAAAAAACAAATGGTGCCCATCATCCTTGGAGTCCAGCCCATTGTGTCCATGCATCGAATCCACACACATGTACAAATGGCTGGAAAAACAATCATGTAAAAACCATCTGTGAGCCACGGTGGTGCAGTGGTTAGAATGCAGTACTGCAGGCTACTTCTGCTGACTGCCGGTTACCTGTAATTTGACAGATTGAATCACACCAGACTCAAGGTTGACTCAGCCTTCCATCCTTCCAAGGTGGGCAAAATGAGGACCCAGATTGTTAGGGGAAATATGATGACTCGGTAAACCACAGAGAGGGCTGTAAAGCACTGTGAAGTGCAGAAGTGGGTTCCTACTGGTTCAGACTGGTTCAGCTAAACCAGTAGTAACTTGGTGGCCAGGGTCGCTGGAACAGGCAAAATTTTTGCACGCACCGAACTGGCAGTAATGCCGGCAACAACCCACCCCTGGTATATAAGTCTAAGTGCTATTATTATCTTTAACTTTTGATATACTCTGGACTCTTTTTCACTGCAAAGATTTAGAAACAGATAGACTAGTTCAGGAAACTTACATAAATATATGTACTTCTCTTTATTGATCAATACTTCATTGATGGGGGCTCAAGTAAAGAGTGAAGGCATCACTTAGAGGCCCTCTACAGTTGGAAAGCTGACTTGTAAATTTAACGTTGTCAAGAATAAATAATTTGAGTTAAGGGCGCTTACATTTTCCTGAACTGATGCCTTGATGGCTTTCAAATTAGAAATATGCTCTTTATCCTTTGGTAAGAGTGGTATTCTTTGACAAGATTCTTTGGCTACTACTTAGATCACTCAGAAGTAGTCTTAGAGTGGTAATTTCCACCATAATGTGTGGAAATCTGCTCCTGCTTTTTCTACCACTATCTTATTTTTCTTGTGGGAATCTCTTTGCTTGTAACATACATCTATTACTCACGGAAATGGGAGAGGTTAGTATTGCCATCCTATGACTCTGCTGTAGTTAGACAAAGACAGAAGAAGGCTTTTAATCCTCCAGAAAATACAGGTGTTTGACTGGCCACGTCCTCCATACCAACTGCCACATTTATCCACTGAAGCTCAAAGGATATGGATTCCGCCCTGTCACGTATCAACATTTATAAGAAGGGGCTTCATTTTCATGGTGACCACAGCAGAGACCTTCCAATTCGTCAGAGTTTTGGCAGTGTGACTATTATTATGAGATAAATCCAGGAGCAAAACACAGCACACAGGGCCTTTATACAATTAATAGTGGTTTATATACAAATATATACAGACATATACCTGGAGATAAATCCCTTAACACTCAGCTACAGACACAATGAGAGAAATTAGATACATGATGAGACAGAGATACACCCTCTCTATATAGATATCTCTTAAAACAGTAAATGACTTGTGTGGACCCTACCAGAGTCTTAAACCAGCGATACCTGTGATGCTGAATCATCCTCATTGCATCAGCTTACAGCTTACAACCTTACACCTTACATCAACTGGCAGCTATTAAATCCTCACTACCTGACAAAATTTCTAGGTTCTATCATATCTCAAGACTTAAAATGGACACCTAACATCAAAAACATCATCAAAAAAGCACAACGAAGAATGTGCTTCCTGCGCCAACTCAGAAAGCTCAAACTGCTGAAGGAGCTGCAGATAAAGTTCTACAAAGGAATTGTTGAGTCTGACATCTGCACCTCTATAACTGTCTAGTTTGCTCTGCAACCATACAAGATAGACACAGACTTCAATGGATAATCAGATCGGCAGAAAAAACAATTACCAACCTGCTTTCCATTGAGGACCTGTACACTGCAAGAGTCAAAAAGAGGGCTGTGAAAATATCTACAGACCCCTCGCATCCTGGACAAAAATTGTTTCAACTTCTACCCTCAAAATCACCATTGCATACCAAAACAATTAGTTTTTTCTCACGTGAAAACTCTCTGCTAATTCCCACAACACTCTCAAACTATTTACTAAGACTGTACTGTATTACTAATATTCTTCTCATCCTATTTCTTACCTATCTCCTTTCCTACTTAAGACTATAACCTTTTGCTTTATGTTTTATATTGTTTTATTTAGATTTTATTTATTTTATTTTGATTGCTTATTTAATATTCTATGACTATCACTGTGTTGTATCTTATGATTCATGATTAATATATATATGATGACTATGATCATGATTTATCACATATCTTTTATGTACACTGAGAGCTTGGCCAATAAAGAATTCTATTCTATTCTATTCTATTCTATTCTATTCTATTCTATTCCATTCTATATTCTGTTACATTCCATTCCATTCTATTCTATAT